GGGGAATGTGGCGTTCGTGTGTGTGTGTGTGTGTGTGTGCGTGTTTGTGTGCATATATGTGTATGTGTGCGTGTGTGTGTGCCTGTGTGTGTGTGTGCGCGCGTGTGTCTGTGTGCAGGGAGATGTGCAAGTGGGACAAGGGGGTGCATCGCAATTGTTTCTCGAGGAAAGGGGATGGGTTGGAGGTCTCCCAGCACACACACATGAAGCATATGCATGCAACCCCACCCCCCAACAGATGGTGCGTGTCCTGGACATCATATCCGACTACATGCGCCTCCGCGGCCTGCCCCACCAGCGCCTCGACGGCTCCACCCCCGCCGCGCAGCGCCACACGTGAGGCTCCCTCACGCGCCTAGCGTGCATGCATGCGAGCACGGAGCGTCTTGCTGGCTGGCGCCAATCGCAGCATATAGCCATGAGGGAGGGGCGCGTTGTGCATGCGCTCATCCAGCCCGTCCCTGCGGCTGGTTGGGCGGCCTGCGCCATCCTCTTGTCGCCGCCGAGGTGCTCTTTCGCTCCCCTTCACTCCAGCTCCAGCTCCTATCGCCCACCCATCCTGCCAAAGTTATTGACGACCCCACCCCTTGCTGCCGACGGATACTTGAATACCCCTCCTCTGTGGCCCCCAGGGCGATGGAGCACTTCAACGCCCCCGGCAGCCCCGACTTTGCCTTCCTGCTGTCGACGCGCGCGGGCGGCCTCGGCATCAACCTCGCCACCGCCGACACGGTGGGCCGGGGGTTGGTGGCCGCGCTGGTGCTCGGTTTGGCCTCACACGGCCCGTGTCCTGGCAGCGTGCTACACCTGGCCGCCATCGGCACGTCATGTGCTCCCAGAAACTTCACCCACCCTCACATACACACACACACACACACACACACGCATGCATGCATGCATGCATGCATACACACATACACAGTGAGTCCGCTCACACTTGTAGTGAGTCTTGCTGTGCAAACAGTACATCAATGTGCCCACACGGAACACACACGCGCTCAAC